AGAGGTTCTAGTCGGGAACTCCCGACTAGGGGATACCCTGAACCCTCTTCTTCCAACATCAAATTCATATATATATTCTATTATAGAAGCTATATGTCAAGTTTGGTGACTCTAGCTCCTATTATTTACCAAAATTGCACAAAAGACAGGATATCGATATCGATTTTAATCGATTGATTGGAAACGGAGTAAGTTATCGATTATCGGAACTAGGAGCATCTACATCTAAAATTTCAAGTCTCTAGCTCTTATAGGTTCTGAGATCCTTGCGTTCATACGGACGGACGGACGGTCGGACGGACAGACAGACGGACATGGCTAGATCGACTCGGCTATTGATGCTGATCAAGAATATAAATACTTTATGGGGTCGGAGAAGCTTCCTTCTGCCTGTTACATACATTTGGCTTTTGCACAAATACAATATACCCCTATACCCATTTTTAATGGGTTCAGGGTATAAAAAGAAAACTGTGAACCATGAGCCAAAGCTTAGGCCAGGCAGTTGATTCGAACTGTAAGCCAAACTACAGAAAATTACCTGCCAATAACAAAGGCTTCCAATAGGTCAGTGCTATGTGGTCCACACAATAGACAAGCCCGGATTCAAACCCGTAAACTCAACGTTCAATATTTGGAAAAGCAACCTATTTATATATATATACTAACAATGTCTATAAAAAAGACTGAGTGAGTTTTGCTAGCACATATACAGCCTGTCGCACCCTTTAAAATGATAAAAATAATATAACAAATTCCGAGGCAATTACCCACAAGCTAAATGATCATATTAATAGCTGTTCGAAAATTGAAACGCTTTTGACAATTTGTGAACATTTGAACTCATTTTTCACAACAATGAAGGAAGAAAAGAGGCTGACCCACAACTAATTTCCAGCCGGATGTTGCTCATTAGCAATTTGTAGAGAACTCGCAAAGTGCGAAAACACATTGGAAACATTTTAAATTTCTTGATTTATTTGTCAGTGTCAAGAAAATTGTGGCGATGAGTCAGCTGTAAGAAGCCGACGAGAAAATAGAAGAAAAAAATGAAAGAAAATTTGTTCGAGCCCGTAAAAGTTCAAACTGAATTTGACAAGCAATTCTGAGTGCTCTCTCTTGCGCTCTTTTAATTTGCACTCACTCTCTCGCGCTCTCTCTCTCTCTCTCTCTTCTTCGCGGTCACTCTCTGCAACTGTCAAAATGGGACACAAAGCTATCTGCGCATGCGTCGTTTACGAACAGCTGTGCGATGAGCACTTGACAACAAATGTGAGTGCGAGCGAGAGCTAACTAGATCTGTTAGTTTAAATAAGAGATCGATTTAACATATACATAAAAGTCTTAATAAAAGTGTTTGAGGACGTATATGAAACGAAATAAGCGTGAAAAGATGTGGGTGTATTTTATTTTTTCGAATTTGTTTGTAAACAAAGCTCATTGTTATGATCGAGATTGGATTCTTTCGTTTTCTTTTATGATTTCTGTGCCTCATTTATTTGAAGAAATTTGCAAAGACATAAAGAATTGAATCCAAGGGGCATTATTCGTGATTTCATTAATTAAGACTATTTGCACGTTTTTTCATTGTTTATAATTGTTAAGTATGGCATTAGAAAAACGTAATCTTAAACAAACTTTCCTTATCTTTAATATAAATAAAGGAATTTCAAAATTTTGCTTCAATTTGTTGTCTTTTATTATCCCCTCGCAAAAGGGGGTAGAATATTTATACATTTATTTTGTCTTTAACCATTTTTGAAAAAGTATCAAAAATGCAGATGGGGTTTCCCAGGGCAGAAATGTGTATGCCTTTTACCTTATTTATGCGGAATTAAAGGTATCTCTCATTAGTAAATATAACTTTCGAAGAGACACCAAAATTCAAAGCAACAACTCCCTATCAACTGCACAAACCCATAAAGCGACTGCCTGAACCCAGTTGCCTATGACATGAGCACCCCAACAATCGATAAGGTCAGCTTTCCTCTTGTAAGCTCTGCCGCACAAAAGCTCCTGTCATTGTGTGTCAGCATTTTCACGGTTGCCACGCGAAAAGCTAACGATTCCTGCACAGTGTGCTTTTGTGTGTGATTCCTTAAACGCGTTCACGTTGCTGTTGGTCCAGTTGGCCTGCCCGTAGACCACAAAGAAAAATAATAATAATAAAAATAATTCTTAAAACACATTAACCAAATGTAAAACAAAGTAAAGCCTTTTAAGCAACCCAATTCTAGTGAGATTCGAGTGCTCTCTTGTCCATTTCCCGTGGCTGCTGTGAAAAAAAAAAACGCTTTCGCTTTTCTACGTACTGCGTCTGAAATTTTCTCACGTGTGTATGCGTGTGTATGTGTGTGAATGTGTTGTGCATGTGCATTTTTCCGTGTATGAGTTCAGATGTGCGTGCGTGTGTGTGTGTGTGTGTGTGTGTGTGTGTGTGTGTGTGCTTATTACATATGCCTGGGTAGGTCAATCGGTCAGCAGTTACGGTTCCAGGAAAATGTATGCGTACGCTGAAAAGTGCGCTATGCATTTTCCCCAAGCGACTCATAAAATAAACGCGCAAATTAGTTTTTAGACGCGCGCACTTGACCCCAATGCGACTAAATGCCAACGGACGATACACCCGCCAATCCCGCCTGGCCACCAAACCCCGCCCCCACACTTGTGGTTAGAATTTTACCAACTTTAATCAGTGACGAATGCGACACTGGGCGGAATGGAGCTGGCGGGGCTGGGCGGGGCGGAGCACTGGAGTAGCTGCCATTCAGTGAAAGCAAAAAGGCTTTTTTGACATTTGGCTTGAAACTTTTTTGGCTGCTGCAAAGCAAACTGTGCTTTGCTGCACAGAGAGGGCCAGGCAATGAGAGAGAGAGAGAGAGAGAGAGCAGAGAGAACGCGAGAGAGTGTGCATGTCTGTGTGTATGTGTTTTTGTGGAAGAGAGCGCACTAAAGTTGATTGCCCATTTGACAGTTCGGTTTAGGCAAAACAAAAAAGAAACGAAAAAAATATTGCGACAACAAAGAAAATGTAAACATTGCGTATGTTTTTGTTTTGATGCGCACGCACACACACGCATACACACGCGCACATACACATACACACACACACACACACGAACAAAGGCTTTGCATGTGTGTCAAGGGTTTCGATTTATATATAGAGCGCCAATCAATGATAAGCTATCAGCACTAATGGCAATTCTGTGTAGTGCAGCCGTCTGGAAATAAGCAAAATTCAATAATCGTCATAAGCCCAGATAAGGCAAGCCACAAGAATAATAATAATACATAAATATAATTATAATTACAAAACTTTAAGCTCAAAACTAACAGCAGACTTCAACAAATGCCAAATTTTAATTAATTTATTAGCCAATTAAAACCAAAGTAAAAAAAAAAGAAAAGAAAGTAGAAAACACAACACAACAAACCGTCATTAAAGCGTCCAAAGAGCAACAATTGCACCACCGTCTAACATAATAAAAGTAAAATATATATATATATATGCAAACACCCTTCAATTTGTGGCTAACAACAACAAAAAGCTTTTAGCAGGCCCTGCCAAGCAGTGAGTGAGTGAGAGAGCGAGCGCCAGTGTGTGTGTGTGAGTGAGAGCGCAAATACAATTTGCATGCGGGCATGTGTCAATTGAAGACTGAGACTCAGCACACCTGTTGGACGGCTGTTTGTTGACCGCATTTAATGGAAAAGCGTTTATAAAACAGTTCTCGACAGCGACGTGAATGAAAGCAAAAATCAATTTAGTCGTGGGAAGGAAACTTCAAATATGAATACAGGTACCAAATGACATGGCGTATGCGTAATATACACATTTCCACATGATTGCCATCTGAATATCATTCATCAAATTGTCAGCAGGCATCATTTATTGTTTACTCTTATCAATCATCAAATAAAGGACTAACACTTGCATATGATATGAAATATACCTAAATATTTCTAATACAATGGGCGAGACGAATTAAAAGTACGCTCCCTTTAACTTTTAGTGTTGAATTTAATACCAACATTAACACATTAAATGCCAAGAAATTGGCTTTTCTAATAGAAGAGTTTTAACTTATTTAAAGAGACTGCTTTAAAAGACTCATATTTAAGATAAGCCAACTATGGCATTATACTAAAGACAAGTATAATATATATTTAAATATATGAATTCATTCACAGTATTTGCTTACGACCATATTTGGGAAAGCTTCTACTGTGACCAGAAATTTGAATGAATTTAGACTTGTTAACTCTAGAATCAGACATAAAAAATATATAATTTGCCTAACGTGTTAACTAAATTAGTTTTATCAACATTATTGAACTCTCGCAGAATTTTTCTGTCATAAATGTCGAAAAGCTCTTATAATTTCTGTCGGAGACTTTTTCTTTATAAATGCGGAAAACCTGTATATATTCTTTGAGATACTCTTCTTTTATAAAAGCTGAAAGCCTTTGAAATCTTCTTTCACATAACATTACACTTAAAATTGTAATACTCAGTTACAAAAATCAGTACCCAAAATATATTTATAATTCATATTATAGGATATATTTACATTCTAAGAGCCTATTCCATACATTGAGTGAATGACCACGTCTTCTTCGTCACTTCTGACCGTTATAGGAATAAAGCATTCGAACTTTTATTGGTTTTTGTTCATATGGTGGGCCCAATAATTGTCCATATGCGCATTTTTTGTTTATGTTTATTAAATCACAGTCCCCATATTGAAATATCAGTGCGCACCATTTTAACGCCCTATACACAAGCCTATAATAACTATACTAATAAATGTGCCCACTAACACAAATCATAAACCATTAAAACTAGGAGAACGTAAGGAGCATGCAACGTCAACGCAGCAAAAACAACAATCGCCAACAGCCGAGGAACAACAGCAATACCAGCAGCAGCAACAGCAACAACAGCAACACCAACAGCAACACCAGCAACAACAGCAACAGCAGCAACAAATTAACAAACACGATGCCTTGGATAGTTCTAGTAATAAATTAAATCATAAAAACAATAATAATAAGGCTAAGGATAAGGATCGAGCTAGAGACGCATGCAAAGATTTGTCACCGAGTTCCATTGATGAATCATGCCTGACCAAACACTCCCAACAGCAACACCAACAACAACCACAACAACCACAACAAGCAACAAGCAGCTCGCGCAATGGCGCAAAGCCAATAACAACATCATCTCAGCGTCGCCGTCAGCTACAATTTCAGCGGCAGAAGGAGTTAAAACTTTATGACCCCAGCGATGAGTCGCAAGCAACAACAACAACAACAACAACAGCAGCCACAACAGCCACACCCTCCACAAGTGTAATGGGTGGGGGTGAGCTGGTCAATTGCATAGCTTATGATGATAATACGCTAATAATTGAACGCAAGCCCTCGCCCACATCTCCAGCTAGCTCCAGACGTTATCTAAAAGCCGAGACGCCGACGCGCGGCAGTCGCAAATACAATCGCAAGTCGAGGACAGCGAAAGGTGAGCTGGAGGTAATCATTGTCAAGCCGGAGCATCATCATCAGCATCGATCGCCGACGATAACGTTGCCGTTGCCGTTGCCGTTGCCAGGCGCAGGACACAGCATCACAACAGCAACAACCCCAGCAACAACATCCTCAACAACAACAACAGGTCCAACGGTGCTACAACAAAGGTATATGCAGCTCCAGCTGGGGCACGAAAAGAAATTCATTTCCAATGCAATCCAAAACTTTGATTATTTGGAACAAACTAATTCTAGGAATTCTAGGGCATAGTAAGTTAGCCAAAGACACCCCACATTAATCTCAATAACTATCGTATACTAACTATCGTAACTATATGTTGTGCATCGCTGTTTGTCCCACTGTGCAAGTGTATATTTCTGTAAGTGTGTGTGTATGAAAGAGCATGAAGAAGCATGCTTTAGCGCATGATATAATATGATACTTCTGAGCAGTGGAATCCACTGTGGGGGACAGTTTATTCTGTTGCAAAAGTCAAAGAGGATATTTGATACATATGTATGTATTTACACATTATACATTTTTTGATATTTTATTAAGTTTAATTTTTAATTAAAGAGCGTATAGAAATTAGTAAAACTTTGATCAACAAAATACCAAAAACAATCACTACAATTTGTAACTCACTCATTTGTCTATTGCTGCTCTTTTTTGTATTATCTAGGTGTTATTTTAAAAATGTATCGATTTAAAAGTATTTTTACTATTATCATATCAGTTGCTTATCGATAGAATTTGCATAGGTAATACCACTAACCTTACCATAACCTTGGGGTTCCCTCGTTGCGACTTATCTAGTTTCGATAAAAAAAAAGGCTATTTGGTATATCTACGCATTGTATGGTTAGTGATAATACTAACTACTAAATGTTTGAGACTTTATTCTAGGGCTGCTGAACAGCATTAGGGGTATGCCCAAGCAATTTATTATATTTCTATCTCTAGAGAGCTTATATATTATAAGAAACAAATAAGGATATATTATAACTAATCTGTTTCATTAGTTTATTTGCCCGATTAAATAATTTCAGTGTGACCAAACAGAAATTATGTTCACAACATCATTGTCCACAGATAAAAAGGGACTTTATGTGGATAGCGATAAAATGATTAAATTTGTGTTTGGAAAAAATGTTCTGAACATACATATATATTATTAATAGAATAATAGAGTGGCCGAATCTTTTCATAAATAAAATAAGTTAGCTAGGAAAGACAATGAAACGATGTTACCCTAGTTAATAAATGTAGGAATCGGAATGAAAAGCTGATTAAAAGTGGGTAAATAGGCTAAATGCCTTGCTTATTGGGTTTTATGAATAAGCAAGAAATGATCACGTAAAATGTCCATATTCCTGTTTCGCAGAGCGTGTGTAAAAATTTAAAGTGATACTCTTCTTGTTTTTGGCAACTGCATCCAATGAGTATTTAGTATGAGTAAAAATGAATATAAAGTAAATAAACATACTAACGTAATTTTTTTATTTGCACCTTAGTTGCAGTCCGCTTGAGGTAATTGCCAGCTGTGAGGATACGACAGCGGGCAGCTCCAGCCGAATACGAGGCGCCAACACAGAGCTAGCACTGAGCACGGTCACCAGCCAAATTGTTAATAATAGCACCTACAAGCTCGACTTTAAGCAGCGCAGCAGGCACAAAAACAACAACAACAACGGCAGCGAGGCAGGCTCCAGCAACGGCAGCAAGCGTCAGCGTCGCAAATCTAGCTGCACCTCGTGCGGCGGTACAGCGGGCGCCGGCAGCGCCAATCAACGCCTGACGCCGGAGGAGGCACTAACCGCGGCAGCGCAGTCCGCTGCGGCAGCAGCAGCGGCAGCGGGTTGGCAACAACAGCCACAGAACAGTGTGACCAGCGCCGGGAGCACCAACAGCAGCTACAGCAGCGGTGCCCGAGACGAGGACAGCAGCTACAGTGCTGTTGGCGGCGACAGCAGCAGCAGCAACAGTTGCAACTGCGACATTACTGGCGACAATAGCACCTTGCATGGCTTTGGAGTTGGTGACATCAGCAGTTTCATAGGCGACGACGACTGTGAGCCGGGTGAGGAGGACAACGACGACGACGACAACAACGATCCGGACAATCCGGACGGGTCAGATCTTAGCTCGCAAACGCTGCGCACAGCGGCAATTGTTGCAGCTGTCGCGGCAGCAGCCAAAGAGCAGGCGGCTACCGACTGTGAGAGTTACAGTGAGAGACGCCAGGATGCGGATGATGATGCGGACGATGATATTAGGATCATTGCAGGCGCAGTGCGTAGTGGCAACGACTCGCTCGAGGATGTTGGCGATGTCGACGACAATGCGGATGTCATTGTAAGAAGGAATACACGCAATCAACGGCCCTCCATACGGAGGACATGTAGAATCACTGAGGAGGAGGACGACGGCGCCGAGCAAGACGACGACGAGTACGACGAAGAAGACGAGCCCGAGGGCACAACTATTGATATTGATGAGCAGGAGCAGCTGGGACAGCAGCATCAGGACTATTACGACCAGGACGACGACGAAGACGACGACGAGGAGGTCGAGGACGACGAGGAGGTTGACGAGTATTACGAAGAGGAGGAGGACGATACTCAAGCATTCTCGCCATTCTACTCCAGCTCCGCGGAGCTGATTGATAATTTCGGCGGCGGCGCCGGAAAATACTTTAACATTATGGACTTTGAGCGAGGCGCCGCTGGCGGCAGCACCTTCACGCCCAATGGCAATGGAGGCGCGGCGGTTGGCGGCGACATGTCCCGTGCCCATAATCCGCAATCGGATATGGGCGGCGGCAACAACATTATGGGTAGGTTTGAACCACCAACCACTAATTGTCTGTATGTGCTGACCTTGCCCTGACAAACCAACTCTGTGCAGGCATCGATGCCATGGGCATTGCTAACATTCCGGAAACTATGAACGGCACCACAATTGGACCCAGCGGCGCCGGTGGACAAAAGGCGGCCGCTGCCGGCCAAAAGCGGCCGCAGCGACGCGGCAAACCGCAGCCGGATCGACCACAAAGGGCGCTCTTCTGTCTAGGCGTTAAGAATCCCATACGAGCGCTCTGCATACGGATCGTGGAATGGAAGTATCCTTTTCCATATAGACAAATAATTAACGCCTCGTCGTGGAGTCAATGCTCAAAACGTTTTTAGATTCTGTACGGAATGTTTTTTATACCCTTGCAGTTATTATTAAGTCTTAACCACAAGCCGGTTCAATCAAAAATCTATCAAAATGCAAATACTCCGAACAGATTTTAATGCACTTCTCTGGCTCTGAAGTTCAAAGTTGGCCAGCAAATCAAACTTTCAATCCATTTTTTTAAAGAGAAGAGCCTGTAAAAAGTTGTTTAGTTCTTCGTTCACAATATTTACTAAATCAACAGACTTATTTTTCCCTCCACCATACACTCCTATATTCAAAGAATCGAAATAAAATAATTCAACTTCCAACTTTACCACTGGTTCAAAGTCTGAAGATAAAAACTTTCAGCGAAAATTGTAAGGCTTGCAACATTTTCTCACAAGAACCATTTTAAAATTTTTTTTTACTAAACCAAAGCGTGAACTGCCTTCAACCAAAACAAAATCGAGAACTCCTTAGTTCTAATGAAACCCTCTTTAATAACGCCAACAGTTTTAGTTTAGCTCGACTTTGCTTAGCTTTTAGAATATATTTTCTTTAACTGGTTTTTCTTAATCCAAATCATCCGCTAGACCATTTGAATTCCTTATTTTGTTAACAATATTTGCCAATTGTATTGCCTTGGCCGTTTACACGCCTTATCCGGGCAGCGATTCGAACGTGACGAATCAAACCTTGGTAAGTTCTACGTGGCCTGCACCAGAAGGCGCATCTCCTTATATATATATATTTGCTGATATTGTGGTTTATTAATCTATATATATTTCTCCCATCTGTCTTTTATGCATTCCAATCATCTGCTTCATTTATATCATGCATCAACATTCACCCAAAACAAAAAACATTTCATAATACACGCACACAACACAAAATTAGGAAAAAGTTGAATATATATTCCTAGTTATATTCACAGCGGAATGTGTTATGAAGATTTTAGCATATGGTTTTGTGTTACATAATGGTGCATATCTAAGAAATGGATGGAATTTATTAGATTTTACAATTGTAGTTATAGGGTAAGCATATAAAATATGCCAGTTAAAAGCGTTAAGCGCCCAGGCCATCTAATCGGCCTCGTTTTAACCATTTTCTATGTTACCTTATATCCAATTCAATCGAAACTGAGACACGTATGAAATTGTCTATCCAAATAACAATTTTACAGAGCAATAAGTACAGCACTGTCCCATTTGATGAAGGATGCCTTCGATGTGAAAGCGCTCCGAGCCTTTCGTGTACTGCGTCCATTGCGACTTGTATCGGGTGTACCAAGTAAGAGCTTTCTGCAACAACAAAAACAAAAAATTTCAAAAACCAAATTCTTAAATTCACTTTTGTCCTTGTAGAGCAAATCAATCAACAACTACGGTCTCTAACGTAGTTAACATACCGCACAGATTGAGTAAGGGGAGAGTGTACAGTAAGATTTAAAGACAGGAAATCTTGAAGATCGATCGATCAAGTCCGTATTATATTAAATAAATTATATATATAACCAAACGACTTGTCTCTGGTCCGTTTTCAAAGGAACATCAACTTGTTTCAAAAACAAAATATATCCGCTTGGAATTCTACAAAAAATTCCGTACTATAATTATGCAAATCAACAATCTTTTCTGAATAAGGTTCAGATTATTTAAACAAATTGCCAACAACAAATACGCAGTATGAAAGAATGTTTAATATGTTCTCACATAAATAAATCCAATTGAAATACCGAAAAAATGTGCCCGAATTTGATAGAAATGTAGTGTTCCCGGTCTTACTATAAAATTGAAAATTCTTAATATTTTAACTCTCGCCCCGTATCAACTTCTGTGCAGTGTGACCAGCTTTTGTTGTATACCATAGTGTAAGCCGCACTTGATGTATTGTAAAAACCCACCCACTTGATTATATGTATATGTATTGGCTATTCATACGCTTTCCGCAGGTCTACAGGTTGTGCTTAATTCAATTTTAAAGGCCATGGTGCCACTGTTTCACATTGCACTACTGGTCATATTCGTAATCATAATCTATGCCATAATTGGTCTAGAGTTATTCTCTGGTAAATTGCATAAGACGTGTCGAGATGAGGTAACAGGTAAGCGCTTACAACAATTTATTATAAAATCAGTACAATATTTATACGTTGTACGAATATCATTCAATGTCTTGAATGCTACCAGATATGTCGCATTAAAATTCAACGTCCTGTAGCTCTATTAATAGTAGATTAGTGCACGGTTTTGCGGGCAAGCACACAACTCAATTAGTCCAATAACAAACAAAAACCACAGCAACAAAAGAAACGCTCTACACACAGCTTCCACACATCCATACAAAGAAAGATATGCGTAAAAACCAATTAGCCAAAAATTCAATACACTATACACCTACAAATATTGTCCAATTTTCACCGAGCATTTCTGCTAATCTGCTAGTTAATAGAGCTGTTGAAATTTTAAATAAATGGGACAACAGAGCGGCATATTCCGCAACAAAATTAAGACACCGAAGCATCCCCACCCCACAGACATACAAATCGAAAACATTATCATCCCAATTATCATCTCATCTCATAGTACATCTCATCACTAATGCATGAACCTAAAGAAAAAACAAAAAACAAAAAAAAAAATACAACAAAAAAAAAAACAATCCCAAAACAAATAAATCGGAATCTAGGTGAATACGAGGACGATGTGAGACCCTGCGGTGTGGGCTATGCCTGCCCCGAGGGCATGAAATGCTATGGCAATTGGCCCGGTCCCAACTATGGCATTACGAACTTTGATAATTTTGGACTGGCCATGTTGACGGTATTCCAGTGCGTCACACTCGAGGGCTGGACAGATGTTTTGTATTATGTACGTATAGGAGAAATAAATGATCATATAATTTATAATATTTTTCTTACTTCCCAGATACAAGATGCCATGGGCAGCGATTGGCAGTGGATGTATTTCATTTCCATGGTTATTTTGGGTGCATTTTTTGTGATGAACCTGATTCTCGGTGTGTTGTCCGGTGAGTTCTCCAAAGAGCGTAACAAGGCCAAAAATCGCGGCGATTTCCAGAAGCTGCGCGAGAAGCAACAAATCGAAGAGGATTTGCGCGGCTATCTCGACTGGATCACGCAGGCCGAGGACATTGAGCCCGATGCGACGGGCGGTCTGATGCCCGATGGCAAGGGCAAGCAGCAAAATGAAATGGACTCTACCGAAAATATGGGCGAAGAGATGCCCGAAATGCAGATAACCGAATCGCGTTGGCGCATATTGAAAAAGGATTTCGATCGCGTCAATCGTCGCATGCGTCGCGCCTGCCGCAAGGCGGTTAAATCACAGGCCTTTTACTGGCTCATCATTGTGCTGGTGTTTCTCAACACTGGTGTTCTGGCGACGGAACACTATGGGCAAGTCGATTGGCTAGATGAGTTTCAGGGTGAGTTGTCAATAGATGTTAGCATTAGCATTTGCTGTTAATAACATCATGTTAAATATAATTGCATCGATTTGTGCTGTAAAATTTGCACATGTTATTTACAGTCGTTCGCAGAGTTGCGATCATGTAACAGACTCTGTTTAATTTTACAGAAACTGTAAACTGTCTGTAACTGTCTTCACATAAATGAGAAATATTTATAATAAAAAATTAAAGATTTCCTTGCAACTCTAAAAAGTCATCATTATTATGAGATTAGTGACTCTTAAACTGTTTTTGCGAGGTTCAATCATGAAAAAGCTCTGATTAGATTGTAGTGATTAATCCGCCCAAGTACTTGCATATCATACGGATGAACTTTGTCCAAAATCAATATAATCTTCACTTTAAAAAACAAAAATAATACCATTTATGCACTCAAGTAAAAATTTGATGCACTACATATAAAGAATAATAGAAAATACACCAAGGAACCGGTGTACATACTCGGTACTCGGTTTGGTAAATTTTTGGCACATTTGGCAATCATGGTTACAGACGCTGTCGGACGAGCCAAAGTATGTCAGGAGTTCTATTTCGTCATATTCTAATTTTTTTTGCATATTTCTCTTTACAGAATACACAAATATGGTGTTCATTGGTCTCTTCACTTGCGAAATGTTGCTGAAAATGTACAGTTTAGGCTTTCAGGGCTATTTTGTTTCGTTGTTCAATCGATTTGATTGTTTTGTGGTGATTGGCAGCATCTCAGAGACGCTGCTGACAAAAACCGGAATGATGCCTCCTTTGGGCGTCTCTGTGCTGCGTTGCGTGCGCCTGCTGCGTGTCTTCAAGGTCACCAAGTGGGTTGTAAATTTTATCAGGAGCAACAGATTTAATCAGCTTGTGCTTTTTCTTCTAGATACTGGCGTTCTCTATCGAATCTAGTTGCTTCCCTTTTGAATTCTATACAATCAATTGCTTCGCTATTGTTACTGCTCTTCCTATTTATTGTGATATTTGCATTGCTGGGCATGCAGGTTTTTGGTGGTAAATTTAATTACAATGAGGATGAGAAGTATCGCATGAATTTCGATTGCTTCTGGCAGAGTTTGCTCACAGTGTTTCAGGTGGGGTATGCCATGTATAAATCTTTTACCTATTATTTATATACCCTTTTATTTGACAGATAATGACTGGTGAGGATTGGAATGCGGTCATGTATGTGGGCATAAATGCATATGGCGGTGTCTCCTCATACGGTGCCTTGGCTTGCATATACTTTATCATATTGTTCATATGCGGTAACTATATACTGCTAAATGTATTCTTGGCCATTGCTGTGGATAATTTAGCCGATGCCGATTCGCTCTCTGAGGTGGAAAAGGAAGAGGAACCGGTAAGTCGCTACATAAACAAATCGATCCGCATAATTCATTTGCCTTTATTTCTTGAATAGCAGGACGATGGCGCCATGAAGAAATCGCACAGTCCCACACCCACCATAGATGGCATGGATGATGAGCATCTAAGCATTGACATGGATATGGAACATAATGAGCTGGACGATGATAAGTTGTGTGCGGTTTTCTTCTAGTTATCGAAGCGTGCTAAAATATCATTTTCTTTCTAGGGATCATGAAACACTATCCGATGAAGAGGGCCGCGAAATGTGCGAGGATGAGGAAGAGGGTATGTTGCTTACACAGCATTAGGCTAAACCTAACTAAGCTATAGGCGTTAACTAGTTTAAGTATATGAAAAGTACCTAGACTTTAAGTATATTAGGTTAAGCAAACACACACATTATACACGCCGCTTAGACACTTTACTAAACCATACTCGAAAGATATGATATGATATGATATTCATGCCTACTGACGCTTTCATTTGCCGCCTTGGAATACACAATACAAATTCTCAATTTGATATTAATCGAAAGACTCCCATTCTGAAGTATCAGCACGTGTTACTGCACGACCCCGGCGTTTATCGGAAGTCAGCATGAAGAAGACTAAAAAACCTATACCACGCGGCAGTGCATTTTTCATTTTCAGTTATACAAACAGGTAAATCTACAAGAACAACATGCAGAACAACAAAAAACATTACACTTTTACACTTGTTCGATTCATGTGTTATACTGGAGTATTGCACTCTGGTTTTATGATTATTTTTGCATGCTTGCATTTTATAAAAACTACACGAATTTATTAAAAAAAAAACCTATAATTTATTTTAAATTTACTTGATGGCTTTCCGATCGAGCTCTAGTTATTTGCATACCTTACTGTACATAATTTGAATTAAAACTTAATTTTGGTTTTCAGTTGAAGAGAAAAATTAAGTGACCAGCTTTTTAACTGAAAATATTTTGATTAAAATTAACCATAATTCTTTGCATTTAGCAAGCAGCTAGTGCTTTAGAAGTTTTCAGAACTACACACAGACAGCTCCTTCTAGCAGACAATGAATTTAGAGCTTAAGAAATTTTGTTTTGCTTTAGTTAGATAAGTTTTTACTTATGATAAGCTATTTATTTTTTTCCTATATATACATTTTTTAAGTTAAGCAGCTCTGTTTTACTATATGAATATATATGTGTTTATTATTTTTTCCACATTGGCAAATGATAAATGATAAAAATTAATTGCATATAGTGGATGAAGAGGGCATGATAACAGCACGCCCACGCCGTATGTCTGAGGTTAATACGGCTACGAAAATTCTACCCATACCACCGGGCACATCATTCTTTCTTTTCTCCCAAACGAACAGGTTTTTATGTTTTAGTTAACCATACAATACAACAAAAACAAATTACAGCTTGTCTGGAAGCAAAGATATTTTTTATTTTTCTTCAATTTACTTTCCTTTTTTTTTTTTTTATTAATTGTATTGTGTGTGCGTGTGTGGCTAAAACTTTGTGTATTCCTTTGTTTTAAGTATAATAATATTGTATTTGTGTTTTGTTTAACAATATTTGTGTACTTCCAAATGTGTTTTAGTATATGTAACGTGTGTCTAGATTATTAGTTTTATATTTGATTTAATTGCATAGCACATCCTGAAATGTATTGTTACGCCAGGCCCATCAAGCGGTTGATTGTCCCTAGTTGTTAGAGTTCTTAAAAGTGGATAAGCCAAACTCTTCCCTAGAAATGCTTTTATTTTTTTAAATTTTATATATTCTAACTTTTGTTTCATTATGATTTCTAACTGCATGTGTTTTTTGTTTGCTGTATTCTTATTTGACTAATGGGCATATATTTAAGACCTGTAATTCCTTCACAGATTTCGTGTCTTTTGCCACTGGCTCTGTAATCACAGCAATTTTGGCAACATTATCCTATGTTGCATCATGTTCTCATCGGCCATGTTGGCTGCAGAGAATCCCCTAAGGGCCAACGATGATTTAAACAAAGTAAGTAGCTCCCGATCCGAACCGAAAACAGACGCGCAACTGAATATATCGCAAGTTGTCTGTTTCAGAAGTGAGTTCGTAGAGTCCCCAGCTGTTAATTTATTTATTTTTCTTGTTGATTTGCTCTAAACACTTTTCATGTTGTCATTCATTCAATTTTTGCAGGTACTCAATAAATTTGATTATTTTTTCACGGCAGTTTTCACAATAGAACTGATTCTGAAATTGATTTCATACGGCTTCGTATTACATGACGGAGCCTTTTGCAGATCCGCATTTAATCTATTAGATTTACTTGTGGTCTGCGTCTCATTGATATCTCTAGTATCCAGGTAAACGAAAACAACCGAAAAAAAAACTACTCTAACCCAGTAGTTCGATAATTTACTTCTGGAATATATTTATAACGTCGATTTCAACTGCAGTTCGAATGCGATTTCAGTCGTGAAAATTCTACGAGTTCTCCGTGTTTTAAGGCCGCTGCGTGCAATTAATCGAGCCAAGGGTCTGAAGGTAAGCCACATCGTTGCTTTCACAGTTCTCATTCCTATTTGAACTTTTTTTTTGATTCACCTGCTTCTATTAAACAAATTGTTTATTTTCTTTGCAATTTTAAGTTCCAATTTCGTTATTATGATTTCAACAAAAGTTACACTACAAAAATAATATTGTTTTCTTTTTTTTTCTGCGAGCTAATAAATCGTGACTTTTTTGCAATAACCCCATACGAAGTGCAGTTAATATTTAAAAGCGCGGTTCTGGTTTCTATAAACCAACAACCAAAAAAAAAAAAAATTTTTAAATCAAAAACCAATTCAAAATAAAACCTTGAAATGCTGGGTGTAGGGTGCACCACGAAAAAGCTCTTATTATGCTGAATTATACACTGCAAAAGTAAAATTATATAAATATATAAATTTAAGCTCAACAACTGTTTGATTTTGAGTTACACTTTTAACACCTAACGAAAATGGGCGTGGAATAAATGCTATGGGCGTGGCGCTTAGGCATAAAACTATGTGCCATACATGTTGATACTAAAAACCGAAAAGCAATTAAAACACCAATTATTATACCCTTAATTATATCTAGAGCTATAGAGTATAAATTATATATCGTACTATAACTATAAACATATAAATAAATAAATATATATATATATATATCGTCGTATACAGCATGTTGTTCAATGTGTCATAGTCGCTGTTAAGACTATCGGAAATATTGTGCTCGTCACATGCCTACTGCAATTCATGTTTGCCGTTATAGGAGTCCAATTGTTTAAGGTATGATTTTGTTCTTAAGTGCTTGCCCAAATTTCTTTTCGTTAAGATTGCAAAAAAAAAAAATTATTTAGAAAAATGCATAAATTCGCGCGATATTTAAGCATATTTTTGCAGGGCGAATATTATTTACTAGTTAATTTTAAATTTGCCTAGACTTAAAGTTTATTTTTTGAAAAAAGAATTCCCATAGAGAATCAATTGTAAATATAAAGCTCCATGAGAGCTTTATTTGTAAATTGTCTAAGTACGCGTATATACTAAGTATAATATAATTGCACACACATGCAACCTTTGAATATATATTTAACAGTTTTGTTGTTGTTTTTCAATTGTTAAATGTTTCAAATTGTTTTGCCTAACATTTTAAACAATTAACCTTTTTTAAGCTCTACAAAATTATTTTTGTTGTTTTTTTTATTTTTAAACTCTTACCTATTGTTAATACTAATAGCTAACAGTGTTATAAAATGTACAGAATAAAATCTATTGTAAATAATACCATATATGCTGCCTAGTATTGCTTATTAATGCTCAGCATAGCTGTGTGAACATTTTTTAATGAGAACCCTTCCCATAGAAATAATATATTGAAAATCTAAGCGAGAGAATACTTAATAGTGGGACGTAATATTTCAATAATATATAATAATAAACTACTAAATTAGGCTGGTTTTAAAAAAAAAACAAACACAATTTTTTTTACAGTGCACTTAGCAGAAATTTATAAACAAACCCAAACCAAAATACAGACCTAACATAACTCACAAAATTAAAAACCGTGTAAACTTGTCAATTATTATATTCCACACCCATTTTCTGCGTTGTATGCGTCAATCCAAGAGCAACATGTTTGAGAAAATAACTACAATATGATTGTAAGCTCATAAGCAGAGCACAAACACACATGCACACACACACACACACATACATACGAGCATTAGATAAGAAAACACACACATAAATAATATTAAAGCACACGCATATTGATTGAATTATTCCAATAGTTAATTATGATATCATGCAGCGACCAACCTTGCACCCTAGCATCAAGGCAACCCAATCTCAACCAAAACCGAAGAGTATCACAAACAAAAATAATAAATATATATAAATATGGATTTGTGTATAAAACTTCTAGTTAACATTATGTTGGTAGATGATTCTGTTGTAGTAACAAGCCCGATCACAAAAACATACATACATATTACTTTTTCATACTCTAACATATTATTTAATCATTTATTTTTAATCATATTATTTTACATCAATTTTAATTTCTTTCTTCCACTGTCCGTAAATGTCATTAACCTCATAATAACTGTATAAAGCAACACGCACACACACTCTCACACTCACACACACACACTCATCTATTTTTAGAAAAATACAATTTCAGAATTGAATCCCTTATAAATGAATTTTCCTCTTTTTCTCTCTTTTATCGTTTCGGTTTTTCGAACTTTTGCCAAAACACAACCAATTGCATTGTGTACCATTTGCTTTGGCGAAAATGTAAAAAAAAAATACGAAACAAAAACAAAAAACTTTTGATTTCAATGAAACTATTCCAAAAATGTGGGCACAATAACAAAAATTCCACTGATTGATGCTGCATAAACACACACACACCTACACCTAAACACACACACACACGCACACCTACACCTAAACACACACACACACAAACACATCCAATAAAATAAAAAAAACAAATACAAATCATACACGCCTGTCAATTCGTTTGCTCCTAAACAAAAAATTTATTGACTACACTGAAAAAAAACAATATATAATACAGTATGTGGTCAAGTGCGTAGTAGTCGCAATTAAAACCATTGGTAATATCATGTTGGTTACATATTTATTGCAATTCATGTTTGCCGTTATTGGAGTGCAACTCTTTAAGGTAATTTCTTTTCAATTATATAAAACAAAAAACCAAAAAAAAAACGTAAAATATGTGATAATTAAATTGGTGAAGGGTAACTAGAATCGGCTTTATGTGTGCGCTTTTTTTGACAGAATTCAAATACTCGCTGCTTAATATGTGTGCTTTGAATTGTTGATGTACTTGAAACGACTCTTTAAATATGATTTGGAACTGAAATATAGCACTTTATTATGGAGCAGGGAATACTCTATTATATTTGGGGCCTAAACCACCTTATATGGTTTTCTACTGATGTGTGAATTCTTTTGGTTATCTCTCAGCCTTACACAAAGATTTATACGAAATAATATTGGTAAACTGTACAAAAATATTTTCCAAACTCATTTAATTAATACAAATATAAAAAAAAAAAAACATTCATTAAATCGTTGCAAACAAAACATTTTCCAATCTCAGCTTATAAAAGATTTCAGTGCCTCGCTAGCTTTTCTTTAGCTCTCCAAACTATAAACCTCTTTTGTGCGACTTTTAAGCCCAATGAGTTTTGTACTCTAATTAGCTAAATAATACTTCCACCAGCTATTTAGATACAGCTAGAATAGCTGCTCGCTAACCATTTGTATTATATATATATATATATAAATATATATGAATATATCTGTTTAACACTTTGAAAACCCAACCCTGAAATTTTTGTAACATTTGTAACGTACCGTCTGTAAATATTGCGTTGTCCAGCTAAAATTAAATAAAAGCTTGTCCGTGCCGAAAAAATTATATATTATACTATATAAAAAAAAAAATAACGTTTGTGTATGTAAATTTGTTTGCCTATAAGACACCCTGTATATGTGTGTATAGACTAGCTTAGTCTATTGCATTGCTGCATACTATATTTATAATTAGGCTTTAGTTGATAGTACCTATCAAGTTGTTTTAGTCAAGTGTCCTCAACTGTGGATTAACTCAAGTTTAGCGCACTTTTCATAAGAGAAACCCCAAACATTTTATCCTATAAACTTTTAATATACAAAAATCTTTTGTGGTGGCCAAAAAAAAAACCAACATATAGGGTAAATTTTTCTCCTGCACCGATGGCTCCAAAATGGTGAGAGAGGAATGCTAGTAAGTATCTTATTATATTCAATTAAATGTATACACTGCTTATAAATGATTTGAATTTTTAGTGGCACCTATCTGGTCTACGAGGATGGGGATATGAACAAGCCGCGCCTGAAGGAGCGCGAATGGAGCAATAACGGTTTCCATTTCGACGATGTGGCCAAGGGCATGTTAACACTATTTACCGTTTCCACCTTTGAGGGCTGGCCATCGTAAGTAATACCTCACTTAATATTGATTTCAATAAAAACAAACTATTTTCTCAACTGTATAGCCTGCTCTACGTCTCTATTGACTCGAATAAGGAAAATGGGGGTCCAATACACAATTTCCGTCCTATTGTTGCTGCCTACTATATAATCTATATTATTATAATCGCCTTCTTTATGGTCAACATCTTTGTCGGTTTCGTTATTGTCACATTTCAAAATGAGGGTGAACAGGAGTACAAGAATTGTGATCTGGATAAGAATCAGCGTAATTGCATAGAGTTTGCATTGAAAGCAAAGCCCGTGCGACGTTATATACCCAAACATGGTATACAGTATAAAGTCTGGTGGTTTGTGACGTCATCATCGTTTGAATACACCATATTTATATTGATTATGATAAACACGGTCACACTGGCCATGAAATTCTATCAGCAGCCGGTATGGTATACCGAAATGCTGGATGCACTGAATATGATATTTACCGCGGTGTTTGCCTTGGAGTTTGTCTTCAAACTGGCTGCTTTTCGATTTAAGGTGGTTTTGCATTTTTGTTAAATGTATAAAGATTTTCACATGGAGTTCTCATCGTTTATAGAACTACTTTGGCGATGCATGGAACGTTTTCGATTTCATTATTGTACTGGGCAGCTTTATAGATATTGTTTACTCGGAAATTAAGGTTTGTGCACGCATACAGACTATACGGTACTTCTTCAAACTTCTCTTTCTACTTCCACAGAGCAAGGACACTTCGCAGGCCGCTTGTGATATAGTTGAGGGCTGTAAGGCCAAGGCCAAGGCGGTAAGTTCTTAAATATTTTCCCAGCTCAGCTGGTTCATAATATTTTCTTTTGTGCATTTCCAGGCTGGTTCGAATCTAATTTCCATCAACTTCTTTCGCCTGTTTCGTGTGATGCGTCTCGTCAAGCTGCTCAGCAAGGGTGAGGGCATACGCACCCTACTCTGGACCTTCATCAAGTCCTTTCAGGCACTGCCTTATGTAGCGCTGCTCATTGTGCTGCTCTTCTTTATCTACGCCGTGGTGGGCATGCAGGTGCGTCAATTAATATTCAGAAAGCGATTAAAAATATGTTCGGAAGGCTCTGATTCAAACATTTGAATATTTTCTTGCTATTCCTTAAACAACTCTACCAATATTTAATTACTTCTAATTGTATTCCGCTTTAGGTCTTTGGCAAGATAGCGCTGGATGGCGGCACGGCAATAACACGGAACAACAATTTCCAAACATTTCAACAGGCGGTGCTGGTGCTCTTCCGTTCGGCCACCGGCGAGGCGTGGCAGGAGATTATGATGTCCTGTTCAGCGCAGCCGGAAGTCCGCTGTGATATGCAGTCAGACACACCGGGCGATCAATGCGGCTCATCCATAGCCTATCCCTACTTTATATCCTTTTATGTGCTGTGCTCCTTTTTGGTATGTAGAACCAAAAGTCTCTATATACATATATAAAGCTATAGCTGCCCTTTATTCCAGATCATCAACCTGTTTGTGGCCGTCATTATGGATAACTTTGATTATCTGACGCGCGACTGGTCCATTCTGGGTCCGCATCATTTGGATGAGTTCATTAGGCTATGGAGCGAATACGATCCGGATGCCAAGGGTCGCATAAAGCATTTAGATGTGGTTACATTGCTGCGCAAAATATCGCCGCCCCTCGGCTTTGGTAAACTCTGTCCCCATCGCATGGCCTGCAAGCGTCTAGTGTCCATGAACATGCCCCTCAACTCCGATGGCACGGTGCTCTTCAATGCCACACTGTTTGCGGTGGTGCGCACCTCGTTGAGCATCAAAACGGAGGGCAATATCGATGATGCCAATGCCGAGCTGCGCGCTACCATAAAACAAATCTGGAAACGCACAAATCCCAAGCTATTGGATCAAGTGGTGCCGCCACCAGGCAATGATGACGAGGTCACAGTGGGCAAGTTCTATGCGACATATTTGATACAGGACTATTTCCGGCGCTTCAAGAAGCGCAAGGAGCAGGAAGGCAAAGAGGGTCATCCCGATAGCAACACGGTTACACTGCAAGCAGGTCTGCGCACGCTGCACGAAGTGTCGCCGGCACTGAAACGCGCCATCTCTGGCAATCTAGATGAGCTGGCTGAGGAACCAGAGCCCATGCATCGCGTAAGGCAGATTTGATGATAGCATATGCCAATAATTAATTCTCCCTCTCTCTCTCTCTCCTTCTCTTGACCGCCAGCGTCATCATACACTCTTCGGTAGCGTTTGGAGCTCTATTCGCCGCCATGGCAATGGTACGTTCCGGCGCAGCGCCAAAGCATCACAGAGCAACGGCGCACTCACCATTGGCGGCTCCTCCCTGGCTGCTGCAGGCGTGGGCGGCAGCAGCTTGGTGCTGGGCAGTTCAGATCCCGCCGGCGGTGATTACCTATACGACAGCCTCAATCGCAGTGTGGCCGATGGCGTCAATCACATAACGCGCAACATGATGCAGACACGTTTGGCGGCCAGTGGCAAACTGCAGGATGAGCTGCATGCGAGCAGCGGCGGGGAGCTTCGCACCTTTGGCGAAAGCATCTCGATGCGCCCGCTGGCCAGAAATGGCGGTGGTGCAGCAACTGTCGCCGGCACGCTGCCGCCGGAGTCGAATGCGTTATCTTATGAGTGAGTATTAATGGGGGCCTGGGGCGGAACGCCAGATGGGGTTGGTTGGGGAAGAGAATTGCGGGCTGCAGCTGTTGTGAGTTGGTCGTTTGGTTTTACTCTATTAGCCGCACATTTGGAGCTGTCAATTCTTGAGTTTCCATAACCATATATACTTCCTGTTACTATGGCTTGCTGTTTAGTAAGTTTTTCTTTTGTCATCATTTTTTGCCAAACAATTTTTAATGGCATTTTGTTAACACTTTAGTGCGCCTTAAACGTTTGTAATGAACAAAAGGAGCCCGGCCAACAGATTCTTGTTCCGGCCCAAAACAATTTAGTTGCAATTTAGTGAATTAGTTGCAAAAAAAAAAAAAAAATCACCAAAAAAAAACCCGAGTTAAACTAAGCAAAATAATAACAAACAAATCATATAGATTTTTAAAAAATGTTTAAAAACAAAACAAAAAATAGAAAAACCAACCAACATTCACTGAGAACCGAACAACAACAAAAATTTACTCAAATCCCCGAACATTAATTTCAGCAACCGCAATCGTGGTATTTTATTGCATCCATATAACAATGGTAAGCGCAAAAATGCTGCAATTGCAACAACTGCAACAATTGCAATTGCACAAAACAAAACAAATTAAGTTCTTTAAGCGTTATTTTTGAGTTTACTTCCCAAAATAACAAATAACATTTCAAACAAGACATTTTTAAAAAAAACATTTGTTTGTTTGTTTGTTGTGGCATTTTCTGTTTGAGTTTTTACTTTTTGGCTCACACACAGAAACCAACCATAATCTCTTGATTTCTTCAAAACCTCTAATTGTTATTATTTTGCGCATACTAATTAATTGAATTAGGAAATTATAATTATACAATTTCGGTATATACATAAAATATTTGTAGCGCAGCATTTAATATTATTATTGTGTACATTTCTTTTCGTAATCGCCACTAAAAATTCTGAGTTGTGAGTTCTGAATTTTGCCTGCGGCATGCCCAAAAAAAAAAAAATAATAAAATAATATTAACTATATAACTAAAAGAAAAAAATAAGAAAACTAACTAATGCGCGCAGCTAAAACCACAAATGCAATGAAGCAACTTTAACAAAAACCAAAATTCGTTTCGTTTTCAATGTATTTTTTGGCTGTTTGTTATATGCGGCGCCAACTGAATAGACAACACTTAAAACACTCAAAATCAGAATGGTTTTCCATTTTGATTCGTAGTACACTCACATTAGTTCAATGCGCAGCTAAAATTATATTGCAATCGTATATAGTATATAGCTATAGCATACAATTAATTGTAGTTATTTAGTTGTTTAGTTTGGGCTAATCTAGAAACGCTTTTGCTGCCTCTTACACACAATTATATATTTATATATGCTCAGCGTCTGTAGATGAAATACATAGTTCCACAACAGTCACACAAAACAAAAAAAACACACGGAAAATAAAATATGCATAGAACTGAAATAAATTCTATATACAACGTTTAAGAGCTACACTAATAAAATTTAGCTTGGATTGAACTCAAAACTAAAAGGATATTGAAACAAACCCGAAATTCAACTACAAAAATAGCTTCAGCTAGGCCCTAGTGACTATTTTTTCTAGGCAGTAAAAATGTTTTTATATTTAAGTGGGATTCGAGTGCAACAAATGTAAAAAAAGAGTGAATTAATTATTCAATTTAATTGAAGTATAGCTTTGTTATTAATACATCTCTTATATTTTATTCCATCTATTCAAGGTTAGGGTAAAATATAAAAAAGTAAACTACTCAGTAGGGTTCCATTTGAGGCAATAAGTGCTTAACACCGTTTAATTATAACTAACTATATATAAATCTATATAGCTAACTCTTCCAGTTTCAAAGCATTGTTCTCTAACAAAATGCACAAGGCTCCTTTTGTTGATTACAAACTAACAAATTGAGATTATTACAAGTAAAATTAACAATTGATCAAATTGCCAACAAATGGAAAATCATGAATATATTATTTATAAAATCCATTTTAAAAACCTCTATGCAAAATTGTGAAATTGTTGTAAAAGTAATTTGTTTTTGTATAACTCTTTCTTATAAACATCTTTATTATAGCATAAGTGATTCGAGTTTAAAAACAACCGAGTGCTGAGTTTCGAACACTGGACGAGTCTCAGAGAGTTCGAACCAAATTTTTAGCCTCTCATTCAGGCCAAACGGGCAGAGAGTACTTTTTGTTTACGTTTCTTTGTTATTTTGTGCTAAGTTTACCATTATTTTTGTACGAAAAAAAAAACATTCCATAAGTATTGTTAAAACCTTTAAAAACGAGTTTTACGTAACTGCTTAGACCTGCGAGGAGTATAAACATAACACCACCAACAACAACAACAACAACCAACAACAACAACTGAACAACAACAACAATCGTTTAACACGCAACAAAAGAACGAATCGAATGAAAGAATTTAAAAGAAAAAGGTTACATAATCAAAGTATTTCCTCACAAATCTTAATCCAAATGATATCGGTGTCTATATAAAATACCCATATAACAGTGTTGTTGTGCCCATGTACTCATATAAGCTGGCCTGGCCGATTGAGCGTATCCATCAAAAAATGTGTGCCTTGCGTCCATCAAATATTTATATTATAATTATAATACCCATGCCAAAGATATAAACATACTCGTATATACTCGTATACCTAATTATTTTTGATATGCAAAATCTTAAAAAAAAAAAAAATTGTTTATTGTTGTTTTAATGTTGTCTAAACGTCGCTTCTTATGTTTTATATGTGCGGGTGTCCCCTTAGGAAAAGACAGAGAAACCAATTACAAACACACTCTGTGTATAACCAAAGGACACACACACACACACATCCTACCTACGCACATACACAAACATTGCTTGGTTTTTGGTTAGCTTTAGCTGAGCCGCCTGCTTCGTTTTTATAACGCTGCCCATGTCCATGCCTTAGAAATTGCCTTAGTACCGCCTTTGTAGAGCCCAACTCGGAGACATGCTTGCCATGTCTTATATTGTATATGCATATATATATATATTCATAGAAAGAGATCGTTGCTTGCTTTAGTTCGTATATATATAATAATCAACTTTTGTTTGTATAGAAAATGCTTATATATCATTTACATAAAGCTGTACAATAACATCTAACATATTAATATAGCCTGTATATTATTGAATGCTTAACTAACAGTCAACTGAAATTTAAGTTGTCTTTTATATATATATATATATACATAGTAAAATGCTTGATGATCATTTTAGTTCGGGGAGAATCTATGATGAAGTTAGGAGCTGGATGAGAAAAACACTATTGGATCTACAGAACTTATTAGTCAAACAGAACTAAGCTAAACGGCCCTATTAGAGTTTTACAAAATGAATATTAATTGATAATAATTAATGAAAACAAATATTATAAATGTTAGGAGCAAACTGTTATTTACAAGATTGATCAAGATGTTTTAAAAACATGAATTACATTGTTCAACAAATAGTCATTTTTCAATCAAAAGCTCTGCATGATTTCGTTTTTTAATCGGGCCGACTCTGGCATATATTGTGCCTACACGAAAATATTAAATCTGCTTGCCCTTGAGATAATAATTCAGTTCTTAAATACTCTGAAAAAACAAAGCTATTTTAAATTCTTGTAGATATTTAATTTTTGTACTAGGAGTAAATAGTCCGAGCAAAATACTATATATTACCAAAATTTAATTTTATTTAAATGGATATAAATTTGAAGAATTAATAATATAAACAGATTTATAATATAAACAGATATTAGTTTGAAAATTAAATTTCTAAGACTAACAGATAAAGACAGGTAAGACCCTTATACCTTGTATATAAATGAAAATTAAGCGCTAATAAAGGTAGGTAAGATATCGAACCTGTTAGTTTTATATAGATTTTGTATGATCATCAAGCGCTGTACAAATTTACTAACCCCTGCGAAAATAATATGCCAACCAATAGCAGCTAATATCTTAACTTTTGTATATCTTTTGCATTTATATAGTCTACGCGCCCAATGGTGCTATTCCTGGCCACGAACGCATGATCCAATCGACACCAGCTAGTCCCTACGATCAGCGTCGTTTACCAACTTCATCTGAAATGAACGGCCTAGCCGAATCATTAATTGGAGGGGTAAGTACAAAACAAAAAGAACATGATTCAAATTTGTATGCTAAGCGACAATTACTTGTAGGTACTCGCCGCTGAGGGTCTAGGAAAATATTGTGATTCAGAATTTGTGGGCACAGCTGCGCGGGAGATGCGAGAGGCACTGGATATGACGCCCGAGGAAATGAATTGGGCTGCCCATCAGATATTATCGAATGAGCATTCGATGAGTCTTCTTGGCAGCAGTAATGGCAGCATCTTTGGTGGTGCTGGCGGTGCTGGTGGTGGTGGTGGTGGCAGCAGCAGCATTGCTGGTGCATTTGGTGGCAGCGCCAGTGGACCATCATCATTATCGCCAATGCATCAGGGCTCGGGCACTTTACAATCACCACCGATACCAGATAATCGTCTAAGACGAGTTGCCACAATAACGACCACTAATAATAATAAGTCTCAATTTAGCCAAAATAATAATAATACTAATAATATAAATAGTAGAACTAATGCAGCAACGCCTACGACTAGCCAAAGAAACATGTCACCCACACAACAACAACAAATGCAACTGCAACTACAAAAACAACAGCAATCTCCTGAGCATAACTTGGGCAGTGGTCAGGGCTATCCTGCCACCTCATAGCATACAAACTGCAGTCCATACATGCAAAATGTCTTCTTAATGGAATTTTAAATGTAACATTTATGAACATTTTTTTTTTTTGTATAATTTTTGAGAAAAAAAAAACAGCACTAGTCATAGATAATTGAAGTCAAAAACAAAGCAACATTATGCAAAACTTGTAAAAATTATTGTATGTACTTACCTAAATAATTAATGGTTTGCCTTTTTGATAACGTCTATGATGGTTTATCGTCCTGTATGAAGAACCAATAAATAAATGAAAACAAGAAAATAAAATTAATTATAATAGCAAGCACACACTCACACACAGACACAAAATATTGTATATGAACAAATATATATTTTTTAACAATTGATTGAGTAGTAAAAGAAAACAACCTAATTGATTAATTATAATAGTCCCCAATAATAATTAAATTAATAATAATAATAATTATGTAATTCATCATAATGTGTACATCAATATGACATCTACTTACATAGGCTGTAAGTATTTCGATTTAGACGCATTTTATTTTTTAAGTATTTAATAATTGCGTAAATAAAGCATACTAAATATGGAATTGTTTAATATGTAAAAATGCAAAAACTAAAAAACGACAAACAAGCAACTAATTAATTTAATAGCGAATTTTCAATGAACGCCCAAACTGATTAAAGAATTGTTATGATTGATTTTATAAAAGCAAATAAACAAATTCAAAAATGAACAAATGAAATGTTCTTTAATTCAATAACTGATGAAAAGAAGAGCTAAAAAAGTAGGTAATGCAAACTGGGTTTTGGCTATCGTGAAGGCAAATGGTGCAGTTTAAATTTTGGTTAATAGTAAAAGAAAATTGAAATTCCATTCTCGAATTAATCGGAAAAGAAATTTCAGAGAGCCAATAAAGCAATGCAAGGATAAATACATATTGGTATATGATACGCTTTAAAGGCTTTCAATTGTCAGCTTTTAATAGTAAAATTTAAACGCTTTTTGACTCGCCTTTTTTAATTGATAGGAGCTATAAGAGTTAGTGCTGCCAACAAGATTTATTGGTTTTTTTAATTTCATTATATTAACAGCAGTTTACACGTGCTTTAATTTAATTCTCGTACACTTAAAACGCCGCTAGCCATTTGATATATAACGAGAAAGAAAGGCTATCTTCGGCACGCCGAAGATCTAATACCCTTGCAGACCCAATATTTTCATAATGCTTATATTGCTTTGCACGTGCCTAAGAATCACAGGGAAAATATCTGATTCTGATATCTTGATAAACAAAAAAAATTTTTAATCAAAAACCTAGTTTTCGACCGATCGTTCCTATGGCAGATATATGATATAGTAGTCCGATGTAAATAAAATTAAGGGAGCATAGTGAAATCTTTAAATGCCGTGTTTAATCAAAATATCTTGAATGACAAAAAAGTTTTCCATACAACAACTTAATTTGATACAAATATGATATAGTGGTCCGATCTTAATAGGATTTTGCATATATATGAGGAGCATAGTAAATCTTATAAATGCCGAGATTGGTCAAGATTTCTTGATAAACACATTTTTTTTCATACAACTTAATTTTCAACCGATCGTTCCTATGGCAGCTATACGATATAGTGGTCCGATGGTTTTGACACATATGCTGCTTGCAACAGAAAGAGGGATTTCTGCAAAGTTTCCTTAAGATAGCTTTAAAACTGAGATACTAGTTCGCATAGAAACAGGCCTGGCTATATCGACTCGGCTGTTGATGCTGATCAAGAATATATATACTTTATGGGGTCGGAGATGTCTCCTTCTATGTGTTACACATTTCACGAAAAAATTATAATACCCTCTGCAAGGGTATTAAAACCTATTTTGCTACCGATCCAATGTATGATATAGTGGTTCGATGTATGGAGTATAGTGAAACTTATAAGTGCCGAGTTTGAGTCAAAATATCTTGATAAATGGAAAAGATTTTCATACAAGAGTCTACTTTTGGAACTTTCGTTCCAATGCGAGTTATATGATATCGTTGTCCAATCCAGCCGGTTTCGACATATGTACTACCTGAGAGAAACCGAGATGTCTTCTTGTATAAGTTGCACATATCATAAGATAATTATAATATCCTATCAAAGGGTATACAAATTTCAATTACATCATATACAATTGTTGCGCCAACTATCCAAAGCTACGTTTGCCGTACAGCAGCTGCACCAGCTGGAAAAGGGCGACGAAAAAGCTTAATTAAATAAGTACAAATTGATTAAATTAAATTTGTAATCGATTTTGACAGCCTCCATTAAATCACATTCATGTTATTTAAATGTTTGATGCATTTATTTACATTATTTTTTGTTGCTATTTATTATAGCTGTACAACGATCTAAATTGATTTGAACATATGCTTTATTTTAGTTATTCAGTTAGTGCTATTTCCGCTGCAATATTGGTATTTTATTTGTATATATTTTCATTTATTTATTTGCAACTCGAATTTGACCTTCTGTTGCTGGCAGCACTACGTTTATAGCTTGACCAGGACGTGTTAATCTGCCACACCGAGGATTTAGTGGCAACCACCCACCCGCAATAAAACTTTGCAGAGTCGACCACAACACGGAGATCGATTTTATGTCTTGTGCATTTTCTTAACAACACTTTTCCTTTTTATTTTATTTTATTTTTTTCTTTTTTTTTCTATCCCTTATGCTCTGTGTTGGCCTCTGCACATTGCAATTTGGCGCTATGGCTGGGGTTTGCCAATGCCATTGTTTGACTTGAGCTAATACGAGCTGAGCTCAGAGCAGAGCTTCTGGCGGTGGTATTGGTGATTCTGCTGCCACTGCTGCTGTTTGGCGGAATACAACTGAGATTTCCAAGACGTCCAGCACGTCCGTGGTCCATGGACAACAGCAGAGGGGCAAAAATGTACCAAGATTAAATATTTGCACGGTCAAAATCATCGACAGCTCGGGGAGCTTTGCCTGCACATGGAATATGCAACTAATCATCTGACGTCTACAATGCTCCTCCATAAATATTTCACATGCTCTCATGTAAGGCTCTAATGCATTCTGTGCAAATATTCAGCGAGTGTGTGCCCCTATGACTGCATGTGTGTGTGTGTATGTTAGTGTGTATTTGGTAGCCCTGGAGTATTTGATAAAATAACTAGGGCAGTTTGTTCCGTCTAAGGGGTTTATATAACATTTTATTCATAACTCCTACATTAGCAGTACATAGCAGTGCTGTCAACTTGATTTTAATAAACAGTGTTGAAAAATTAAAAAAAAAGTATTGTCAGTATCAAAAATTGGAAATTCATAGTTGTGTGACACAGCAAATTGTAGACTGTGTGGAAAGTTCTTTCTAGAAAAAATAACTAGTGCTGCAAAATTGGAAAGGCTAGGTATAGTATTGGCAAACACAAATACGACAATTCATAATGGTGTGACACAGCAAATCGTCGACATTGTAAATTTTTTCCGGAAAACTTTTTTTTTACAAAATTTAATAAAAACTCTTTGATTTTTTTCAATATTTTAAGTGCATTAAACGAGAGAAAGAGTGAAGACCATGAATATCTGAGCTAGGCAAATCTAAAGCTAAGTGCAAAATCTTTACTTATTGATATTTTTTTAATATTTTTCTAAAATACACATTCTTAGTATGTTAATTGAAATCTTTAACAAACTCCTTATAAAACTTAAATTAACTTTATCAAAGAGCCAGTCGAATTGATGTCCATTTTAATAAAGCCTCTTTGGGACTGCGGGCCGAGAGAGGCCATAAATAAAACTATCAAAGGAAATAGTAACATTGCATTCGAATTGCACGCAGTTATCCAATAAAAGGGTCTTTTAAAAAAGTAAGAAGCACTCTCGCAAGTTAAGCAGTTATCAAAGGCGTCCGCAGGTCTGCAAGATTTAAAGCTGATTCGTAATCCGGCAGATATATAAGTATAAGCGCCCGTTAGCAGACAAGTAATTGCGCGTGGCCAAAAGAAATGTGTAAACAGCACGTTGGCTTACTTTTGGTTAGCAGTGTAGAGGGAAAGGGTCACGTGTGGAGGATAGTCATAGTTAAACGGCCCATTAAACAAGCTGCACACGGCATTTAGTTTTTGCCGCAGGCCTAATTGGCCTCATTATGTGTACACAGGAATTGCTATGCTCATTTGCGATTAACCGCACGTAGAGCATAACTAAAAAAATGGCAATAATAACAACAAAGGAGAAATATAAATAAGACAGAAAAAATAAATATCGATGTGCCGAAGTTTTAATACACTTGCAGCCAAAGAGCATGCGACCCAATGATAGAAATCAGATGCTGCTGAGTTTGGTTAAAATATTTATTTCATTAAGATTTGACTCCCGGTATATTTTTTGTATGCCCTTAAATTTTTCTCATTAATTTCAGTATAGCATATTTCCATTATCAATTAAATATTGAAAAAAAAAAGTTATATAAATATGAGTATGTACAATTTCTACCCATTTTTGTTATTTACTTGTATTTAAATGAGAGCTTTTTTATGACTTCATCTTGATTTTTATAAATTAAATGTCAAAAAAAAATGTCTGACTCATAGAAAAACTTTTCGTCTAATTCAGAAACGTATTTTCTCAATGATAAAAAATTTTAATTAATTTTTGGGAATTATTGTAGTGGAAATTATAAATAAGACGATGTCCATCTTAAATAAATAAATTTCTGTTTTTCTTTTAAAAACTTTTTGTTCCCTCTTTAGGGTCAAAGACCGTATTTTTAATACATATGTTAAATAAAATACACGCAGAGAGAAAGAGAGAGAGAGAGAGAGAGAGGGAGAGAGAGATACTGATACTCATTAACCCATCCTTTAATACATCAAGTATTTCGCAACTTTATTAGTAATGGTTAAATACCCTTCAAAATGAACGGAAACACGATTTCTCCCATCAGAGCTACAATCTGAATTAATTGCAATGGCGACAAACGATGTTGAGAGAAGCAGCTCCACTAAGATTGTTAATAAACATAATTTATTTACTCGATAAAATGTGTTCAACAACGTTTAGCATATGCGCTAACATGCCCCCTGTTAGGGTATAAAAAAAAGATAATTTTTGCTTCAAATCAAGGCAAAGTTATGCATGGTATCTCCATACACCCAGCCACTCACTCGAATTTAGTAGAACAATTTTCGCACACTTGCCGTGGGCGAAATCTTTTGTGCTTTTATCTGCCAGACATTTAGAGGGATTCAACTCACGGAATAGCCCGCATTTGTATTCCGCTAAAGAACGAACTAATTTTACGTTCAGTAGAAAATCTAGCCG